AGATGCCACTGGCTGGAGAGCCTCTCTGAGGACCCAAATCAGGGGAGTGCTGTTAGAGCCCCATAGGGCGCTCTCCAAGCCCCATGCTTAGCAGCACCCTTGGCCCCACAGCGGCCAGCTCTGCGAGATGCCGCCCCATGCTGCCAGCCAGCCCAGCCTCTGTGAGCGAGCCGAGTGCCAGAATGGGGCTCTGTGCGTGGAGCGGGGTACCCGTGCCCTCTGCCAGTGCCTGCCCGGCTTCGGCGGCCCCAAGTGTGAGAAACTGCTGAGCGTCAACTTTGTGGACCGCGACACGTACCTGCAGTTCACTGACCTGCAGGACTGGCCCCGGGCCAATATCACCCTGCAGGTGAGGGCTGAGGGGACATGGGGACAGCGGGGGGGGGGTGTGGTGTGTGGCAATGGGGGTGCTGCCCCAGGGATGTGGGCTCCCACCTCTCCCCTGCCAGGTCTCCACGGCTGAAGGCAATGGCATCCTGCTGTACAATGGCGACAGCGACCACATGGCCGTGGAGCTGTACCAGGGACACGTCAGGGTCAGCTACGACCCCGGCACCCACCCCAGCTCAGCCATCTACAGGTACCTGCCACTACTTCCCCAGCCACGGGGGATCACCACCCCCACTGCACGGGCTTGGGGGGTGTCCCCAGTGACCCAGCTGTCTCCACCAGTGCTGAGACTATCAACGACGGGCAGTTCCACACCGTGGAGCTGGTGACCTTCGACCAGATGGTGAACCTCTCCATCGATGGTGGCAGCCCCATGACCATGGACAACTCGGGCAAGCACTACACACTGAACAGCGAGGCCCCCCTCTATGTGGGAGGTAGGACAGGGGCCAGAGGGGCGACCGGGTGATGTGGAGAGGTGGTGGTGGGGACACGGGGGACACCCGTGTGTGCTGACAGTCCTGCTCTCCCCAGGGATGCCTGTGGATGTCAACTCGGCTGCCTTCCGCCTCTGGCAGCTCCTCAATGGCACCAGCTTCCACGGGTGCATCCGCAACCTCTACATCAACAACGAGCTGCAGGACTTCACCAAGACGCGGATGACGCCAGGGGTGGTGCCGGGCTGCGAGCCCTGCCGCAAGCTGTACTGCCTGCATGGCATCTGCCAGCCCACCGGCGCCCAGGGCCCCGTCTGCCACTGCGAGCCTGGCTGGGACGGGCCCCACTGCGATCAGCCCCATGGCGGCCCCTGCCAGGGGCACAAGTGAGTGTCCCCGCTCCGTTGGCTACCCTACAGCAATAGTCTTGTCCCATTGGCTGCCCTGCAGTGACCCTTCTGCTCCATTGGCTGTCCTGAGGCAATGATGCTGCCCCATTGGCTGTCCAACAGTAATGGTCCTGAGCCATTTGCTGCCCAGTGTGACTCACCTGCCCCATTGGATCTCTGACTGCCCCACCACAACTGCCCTATTCCATTGGCTGCCCCGCCACAACAACCTCACTCAGCTAGCTCATTGTCTGACCCTTCCTCATTGTCTGCCCCACCACAACTGCCCCACTCCATTGGTCTTTCCCCATTGCCTGCCTTGTCATTAATTGCTCTTCACTGGCCGCCTCTCATCCTTGCTCTCTCCGTTGGCTGTCCCTCCTCACCGCCTGCCCAGCTCACCCCTCCTACTGGCTGTCCACTGCAGTCCCCTGGGACTGGCTTGTGCTGGTGGTGCCATGCGGTGGCAATGCCACTTCACTGAGTGGTGTGGTGCCACGCCAGACCCATGGCACGATGGCTGCGCCATACCAGTGCCGTGCTGGTCCTACGTGCAGTGCCGTGCTGGTGCCATGCTGGCAGCTGCCTGATGGTGCTGGGTGTCCACAGGTGTGTGCATGGGCTGTGCCTGCCCCTCGACGCCCTCTCCTACACCTGCCAGTGCCACGAGGGCTACCAGGGCACCCTCTGCAACCAGCCCACTGAGCCGCCTGACCCCTGCCACCGCCAGCCCTGTGCCCATGGCCACTGCCGCCTCACCCCAGGCGGCCAGCCCACCTGCGAGTGCCATGACGGCTACACCGGAGCCCTCTGTGACCAAGGTAGGAGCCGGGGAGGTGGGTGCCCAGGGCAGGGGCAGCCCCATGCTGGGATGCCAGTCTGAGCATCGCTGTCCCACAGAGCCGGAGTGCCGCGGGGAGCCGGTGCGGGACTACCACCAGGTGCAGCGGGGCTACGCCATCTGCCAGACAACGCGGCCGGTGGCCTGGGTGGAATGCCGAGGGACGTGCGGGGGCCCCAGCGCCGGCTGCTGCACCGGCCTGCGGCTCCGGCGCAGGAAATACGCCTTCGAGTGCAGCAACGGCGCAACCTTCGTGGAAGAGGTGGAGAAGCCCAGCAAGTGCGGCTGCAGCCAGTGCCTGTGAGCAGCCACCGGCCCTGGCGAGCTGGGGGCCAGCGGGGAGCCCTCCCAAGAGCCAAGGACCTCGCTTTGCCCTGTGGCCATAATGCCGCTGGCTGGGTGTTCCTGGACTGCACCAGAGGAGCCCGGCGGAGGGCAGAGCTGTTGCATCTCGAGGGTTGGGATAAAAGGAAAAAGAAAAGGAAAAAGAAAACCCACAAAACAAATGTGTAGATAGAGAATTTTTTAAGAACTGCAGCTACACAGACGTGTGGATACCGGGTGGCCACTGCCCAGCTGCCCCCGTCGACTCCATGTGGCACTTGGCCTATTCCCCAGTGCAGCCCCACAGCCACAGAGGGCAGCGTCTGCATCCCCTGGTGTGTCCCCTCCCTGGCAGCCCCACCCCCTGTGTCCAGACCAGTGAGCCGGGGTCTTTTCCAACACCCAGGGCTGGAGCAGAGGGGTCTGACATGGCAGAGCTTCATGGGCTGTGGCTGGCAGAGGGCTGTGCAGCGTAGCTGACACCCTGTGGTCCTGTGAACCTGGAGCGCTGCTTCACATCCTCTCCTCTGGCAGCCCTGGACTTGCTGCTGAGGATCTGCCATTGCCCTGATGGCAGCAGCAGTGAGTACTCAAATGTCAGCAGTTCCACTGCCACAGGCTGACCCACTGGTGGCACCCCAGGCTGTGCCCTTGCCAGCGAGGCTCCATGGTGCTTGGGCACAGCTCCAGCCCATTGTGGTGGCACAGGTGCCATGGGGCAGAACCAGGGTGGTCCCAAGCACACTGTGTGGGTCACAGGCAGTAGTGTGCAGATTTCTGTGGGGGTCCCGGCACCAGCCCTGCCACTGTGCCATTAAGATGGAGGGGGGCTCCAAGCACCCTCAGCCCAGCTGAGTGGCTTTGCTCAGAGGTGTGGGGCCAGCACAGAAACCCCTTTTCTCCAGGCTTAACCCTGTGGAATGGTTTCTGCCACTGGACAAGGTATGATAGCTGGGGTGCGGGTTTGCCATGCCCATCACCAGTGCCCATCACTGGGACCTCAGCCTTGTGGGTGCCAGGGCTGCCTGAAGAGGCTGAAGATGCTCAAGCCTGGAGCTGACACTGCTGCCGTGACAGATCCCACCAGCTCCTGGACACGGGTGCGGATGCTCAGGCAGCTCCTCTCCAAAGTCAGCAGTGCTGGTGGACGCACTGTGGGACCAGGCCCAGCACCACTGCCAGTGCAGCACAAGGGACCCCATGGCGGGGTACTGCATGCACCAAACCTCCACAGCAGCATCGCTTCTCTGCCTGTGGGGGCCAAGGATGGTGGGTGCCAGACCTTGGACGCTGCACGCAGCTGGACAGTGCATCACCATGTCACTGGGATGGACAAACTCACCCCAGGGCTGCAGCACCAGGTCTCTCAGCACATTGGCTTCAGGTCTGCACCGCCAGCTGTGAACGGGCTCTGGGCATCTCCACTGCGTGCATCCAGCTCTGCGGGTGCCATCACCATCCCTGCTCACCAACAGCATCCAGGACGTTCCCACCACCATGGGGATATGTTTCTGCCATCAACGCCCTCTCCACAGGAGCCCCCTCTGCTGCACAGAGGAGCCAGGACGTGTCTCATTCTGCCCATGGCCCAGCTGGGCTTGGTTGTGTTGTGTTTCTGTTCTTGCTGTACGCTAACCGCTAAAGTATCTCTTTATACAGAATACTTACAGATTCTAATATATATTTGTATTTCATTTTGTTATAGTATTTTTATATGTTCGGGGTCAACAAATGATGTTTTCTTTTTGTTTACAGATGCTACTGGGCAGGAAAATGACGGTGGCTTTATTTGGCCTGTGGGGTTTGTGTGTGTCACTGTTGAAGACGCTGGTTTGTACTAGGCTGGCGAGGGAGGAATGAGCATCCTTCCGCTGGCAGAGGCTGTATTGTTTTAGGAGATGTTTGGTATTGTCTATGTTGTCTTCCATGTGAACATGACATTTATTCATTCAGAGGCTTGGCCTCTTCTTTCCTGGAGAAAGGGGGTAGCTGGTGCTGGGGAGCTGCTGGGCATAGGAGGTGGCGGCACAGGCTGGGGAGTGTTGGTCCTACCATGGGTGATGGAGCAGTCCTGGCCACCTCTTTGGGCCAGAGAATTGCCCACACAGAATCATGGAATCACCTAGGTTGGAAAAGACCTTCAAGATCATCAAGTCCAACCATCACCCCAGGACTGCCAAGACAACCACTAAACCATGTTACTACATGGTGCAGGGATGTGCATCCTGGGCTGAGGGCTCACCGCTGGAGAGAGCTGGGGATATCCATTTAATGCCTTGCAAAAGGAGCCATTACTCCCTGGGTCATGAGTGGGGCAGCATGAGAAACCTCAGGGCTGGGTGCCTGCTGCCATGATGGAGTGGCTGCGGGGGACACGGGGCACCTACAACTCTTTGGGATGAGGGAGGGGGATCCTGGGCAGGTCCCCAGGAGCACCGAGCAGTTGCACTGTTTATCCCACAAATCCGTGGTGGAAAACAGCACCACCAGCTCAGACACCAGCATGGGAGCACTCAAATCCCACCTAGCATTTATATCCGCCCTCCAGAGAGGGGGGTCCCCCACTTCGTGCGCTCGCTCACCTTGGCCCTTCCTCAGTTATCACACCAAACACATGTCGATATCAAAGAAACGTTTAATAAGCTGCAATAAAATATGGACCTTTAGAAAGCTCATAGGGTGAATATCGACAGTGGAGGAAGAAAAGAAAACAAGGTGGTGGGAATCCTTGAGGAGTTCAGATCTGAGTCAGGGACCTTTTACCTGGAACAAGAACACAACTTCTTCCATAGGCTAGGATGAAATAAAAGACAGGAGCACAGAGTTCACAAAATGTCAACATTTAGAGAGTCGATACATATTCAAAGTTCAAATGACCCAGCTCTTATAGCTATACATATTGATTTAAAGCAACTTAATATAACTTTATTTTCTTTTTATATATACACTTTCAAAGGTTCGTCAGGTGAGGTATGTAAACATTATCTAATGGAAACCCCTCTCCACATTTCCAACCGAGAATTCACAGCAGACAGTTCATTTTCCCAACTCGCCATGCACTACTTCCTGCTCCTCAAAGCACCCGGGAATGCCGTCCCAAGGCACAGCCACCGGCTCCCATTTCCCACCGCTGGTCTGTACAGTTCACATTGCTTAGGCTCAAACATACAGTACCGGACAGGAGGACTTTTCAGCTCAGTGTCTAAAATTCATACAGAAACAAACAGAGAAACAAAACTCTCCCGGGGAAGCAGACACAGATGAACGAAACACATTTGCCATCAGGGTGGAGATAACAGTTAAACAGTGAGTGTCTTGAGTAAAAGAATCATTGGGGTGTTGTTGCCTTTTTTCCTTTGCTTTCTGCTTTGTTTTCACACACCTGCTCCAAGGGCAAAGGAAGCATGGGGATGGTGAGAGGTCCTGCAGGGCCAGCACCCAACAGCACCCCATGCCACCCGCCAAAGTCAGAGACCTGTCACCATAAAAGCAGCAATGACCCCGCTGATGCTTCCCCACACAGCAAACAGCTCCAGGCAAAAAAAGGGGTTTAAAAAAAACAAAGAAGAAAACTCCAAACCCACTTAGGAAAACCAGGCAAATGACCCCAAACCACACAGAAGGAGAATTCAAATTGCAGCATGGCAAGCACACGACCTTCTGGAGCCAGCACTGGGACTGTAACGGTGACAGTAGTGCACTCCCTTGGGTCACCTGTACCCACAGGAATCACAGGAGCTCCGAAGGCAGCTGCTCCCTGCAGGAAATTCACTAGCAGGAGTTTGCTAACGGGACCTACCTACCCTCCCCTGGCCGTCTGGGAGGGGGGGGTTCCTTGGGGGTGAGGTAGCCCCCACCTCCTGCATCAGTGGGGATCCCTAAGCCAAGAATCCCCACGTATGCCGTGCTGGACCGAGCCCCCGCCAGGAGCGGGGTTATTCCCACCCGGCCCTGAGCCCCTGCCATTGAAACAGACATTATTACTACAAATCTTATTGCTTGCAGTGCCCCCCACCCCGGGGAACAGCTACGGGAGCAAACTGCTTCCCCAGGGACCATGGCCATCGACCAGGCTTGACATCATCGAAATGAGATGAAGAGAAAGAGTTAATGCTTCAACCTTGATGTGACATTAAAAACCACCACCACCACCCACCCCAACCCATCCCATTCCCCCCCCCCACGCAGTAGCCAGCCCTTTGGTTGCGGCACACTGGGCAGTACAGCCCCACCAACCAACACACCAGTCAGAACAAGAACCTGTGGAAAGCCCATGAAATAAATATCTTTAAAAAACTATTTACAATATTAGATCTGTGAGCATGAAGTGAGAGAAAAATGCTTTTTCCTGCCCCAAGAAAAGCTTAAAAAGTAGGTTAGCATCCTGCCGCCTAGCACAACACTATCTTACATGGCACCTACACATAATATATATTCACATTTCATTTTAAAATTAGGTACTCTTACAAACAGACTTAGAAAACATTGGCTAGCAACGCAGCCCGAGGGACCCATGCCACGAACGCCGGCCGGCTGCATCCCAGCTCCTCCGGCTGCCCCCAAGCTGCCAACGTGCCCTGAATCGAAACCACCAGCTGCCCCCCCACTGCCCTTCAGGGAGAGGGTGGAAGTGCTCGTGAAGGAGAGGGCTTGTCCGCAGGGATGGGAGGAGGAAGGATGGGGACTGTGATTTCTGCTAAGCCTAGGGGTGAGCTTAATACAAACAAGAACTCCTGAGAACATCTTAGAACAGATGGATTCATTTCACAACCACCAAGCTAAAGGATGGGCCGAACAGATGCTACGACACATGGGGGAGAGGTGGGGATGGTGTGGGGACATCGTAGCTTCGTGGTTTGCTCACAAAACCTATCATTACAGGGAAAGCTGCAGAGCCCTTCACTGGCAGGGGTGAGCCTGCCTCTGCCTTGCTCCTGGGACATCTGGGTGTACAGCCCAGGAATGTGGACCCAAGGATGCCTTGGCTGGGGCTCAGCCCTCTTCCCCTGGCACAACCGCTGGCAGTAGAAAGGTGGGAGTACATCCCTGCTGCCCCAAGGCACTGCCATGCCTATGGGAGGCTGGGAAACACGGCTTTCCCAGTGGCCTTCAACTGGGAATACAGTTAGGCTGAAAGAATACTAGCTGGAGAAAGAAACTGTCCATTAGAAAGTCTTAAAAACAGGGCAGTGGTACATCTGTGTCCTTCTGACATTACATTTCTATTTCCTAGGATGTTACTAGGGGCTGGAAGAGCTTCTGGGACCACTGGCATTTCCAGGGGCACCGTGTGAGCGGCTGGGACATGGGCTTGGCTGGAACTTTGCTCATCTCCACACCAGCAAAAAGAAGCTTGGCCAGCTCACCAGCCCCCTCAGTCCAATGCCACACAGCTTCCCCTGGCATGGTGAGCACAGGGATGCAGACAGCAGTGGGGACAAGTTCATCCTGCCCTCCATCACATGGAGAATGATCAGCAACACGGCAGAAAGTTTGCTGCAAGCACCAGCACCAGAACACCAGCTCTTTGGAGAGGCTTGTTGCAAATGCGTCTCTCTGAAGTGTAGGCAGCTGAACACAGAACCACCACAGCACACAGCAAACGTGAGCAAAACCAGCCTGGTGAGTGATGAATATAAATATGTGCACACCTTGGATGTACCACCCATACCTCATCAGCAGAGAAACCCATTCCAGGGATAGCACTGCTAGACAAGAACCTAACAGTGACAGACAGAAGGAGCCATTCTGGGCACAAACTGCAGCTCTCAAGCCCAACAGACAAACCTTGACTGTGAGCTCACAAAACCAGCCCCTCACAGAGGATAGGTAAGATGGGTGGCTCCTGACCACGTGAAGTGTGAAAATGCTGAGCTGCCAATAAGAAGGTGAGAGAGGAGAAGGTAACCATGCAGATGAGAAAGGGGGGCTGGTAGCAAAGTGACAGTAAGGACATCCGTGGAGGTGCAGAGCTAAGATGCTGCTCATGACACATTCACTGGGGAGCTGGGATAAAGACTAGTTTCAAGAATAGGTTGAGAAAGTGGCCACCAAGGAAAGCCAAAGTAATAGAGAGGTCTGTTTTGTGGGACACAGCCCTTGTGCTGAAATCCAGAGCTGAATAAGCAGAGCAGGGAGCTGTGGTGTGGCCCAGAGGAGAGGAGCGCAATGAGGCTGCAGAGCTGAGGATGGCACTGTGGTAGTGCCAGTGGGCAGATCCGCACCTTAGCAAACAGAAACGCACTTGATGCCTGTGCGCAATAAGGCAATAAATCATGTTGCTTATTTCCTTCCATTCATTAAGATCACCTGCAGGTCCCTGTGCATCCCTTGCATTGTGCAGAAGCTGCATTTATTGGAAACAGGCTGCTCTAAAGCAGCGGCTGTGCCTCAGCAGCACACCTCACCGCTGCCTTGCTGTACAGCACAGAAACGAGTAGCGTGTGTCCTAAGGCATTAACGAAGAGCAACAGGTTATATAGATATGGTACCTCCACTCATTTTTGTGTCTCTTGTGTACTGTTCTAGCTGAAACATGGCTGCATGGAGACAGAAAACTGGGAAGTAAATCGAGAAGAGGGTAACGCAACATTAGGACTGATTGGGAAAAAAAGAAAAGAAACAATTCAAACATCTGAGCACTGATAAAGAACCTGGAGCTACCCAGGCAATAGCATACTGCTAGGCAGTCACCTCACATGCAGACCCTTCCATTTGCTAGCAAATCACAGCATTGCTCCTTCCTGCCCCAGAATAAAGCACTCACAAAAGCAAGTGCAAAGCACATTAAAAGCAGGTCTTGTAGTCTGCAAGACCTGGCAGCTACTACTTACGTCAAGTGGAGAATGCACACAGGAGAGGCAGAAGGGCCAAGACAGCATCTCCAGGAGCAGTAACAGAAAGGAAAGGAGCCCAGCAAGGAGCTGGGGTTTTCGTCAGAGCAGAAGGCCGCTGGGCTGTTATAGAGATGACAGCCACCCCTGGGGCATCCTCCCCTGGGGCAACCCGAAGGATCACACAGATCTGTAATTCAGAGAGAACTTGTGCAAATGCACCAGTATGCCCACCTGGAGAGGTTAGGCCCAAGTGTTTGTTGCAGCAATTCAGCCCTAGCTGATGGCTTCACCTGACCCATCCTTGGCAAACAAGCCTGCTCTCCATAAAAGCTACCTGCATGAGCTAAAGTTGCAGGCACTTTGAGTCTCAGGCCATGTTGCCCGCACAGTTCCCAGCATGGCCACACCAACCTCGCTCCCTCCTGGAGACCTGCGACTCCCTGCCTTCAGCATGGAAAATCTCCATCCAACCTAGCCAAAACACAGCAATACAAGAGAAAACTACAGACGGAGACCGGAAGTTCAAAGGGCCGGAAGGTATATGGTTTTCCTTTTAGCATCTGATTTCTCCACAAAACAGATCCTAGCCATTCCTCTCCAGAGCTGACACCTGGCAGGGACACTGCTGGGAAGCTTGGCGTGCTGCTCCCACCACCACATAAGCCAAGCAGCACACACTGAACTGGGACAGATGCTGCTGTGCTCCCAACACCAGTGTGATGCCTGCCATCACCCAGCCTTGCCATGCTCAAGCCAAAGAGTGCAGGGGAAGCCCTGGCACACAGGAAGAGAGCCAGGAGGCTGCAGCAGCAGCATCCCCTCTGAAAAACTTCACCTGCTTTGTCAAGGATGGTGAAGGATGGGGAAAAGGGGGTTTGCTGCAGGAGAATGGCATGAGAAAAGAGGGGTGCTTGCACACATGACTAGCCCAAGGTAAGGAGGAGAAATTCCAGGCCCACATGCCTGCAGAGAGGCTGCCCCAGCCAGAGGTTAGAGGAGGACCACAAGTACGGATGGAAAAGCAAGAGGGAAAGACAACCTGTAAGAAAGGTACAGATCAGTCATGTAACTGCTATCAGTGTCCTCCTGCCTCACACCTCTCCTGAAACGCTTCTAAATCTTTTCTGATGGAATGTTTGACATATTTAATGCATGCAGTAAAAATTAAAGTAATAGATAACTTCATAGTAATCTGTACAGGGACTGACAGGCTAGATTTAATCACTGCCTAGCTGTTCAGAGAGTTAACTTATTCTAGCATGATTCAAAGGAAAGGTAAAGGATTTATGGGTTTTTCTTTTTACATCTGCCATTTCATAGTAAGAGGAAAATGTGCTGCAGCCTTGTTTGCGTCAGCGCTGGGGGAAGGGAATACCTGCAAGACAGCAAGAGGTGCTCTGCGAAGGGCGTGCTAATCTCAAAATGCCTGGTTTCATCCTCTAAACTAAAGGGGTACAATGAAAGCTTTAAAAGACAATTCTCCGCTCTCCAGCTCCAGTCCATGGGCTTTGGGATCTGGAGTTCAATGCCAACTGTGAAAAGCAATTCCTGTTGCAGCTGAGCCCTCTCTAACCTCTGCCCCCAGGGCAGCATCTCCTGAATGTGTGCCCTGCACCACAGCCTTGCTGAGCAAGGATCAGCAAGTGGCTGTTAAAGATCAGGTCACCCCAGAGCTCGTGGTGCCCTCTCCAGCACTGCTGCTCCCTGCATCAGGATCCATGCAAACGGGGTTTGTGAAGCCAGAGATGCAATGGCTGAGCAGGGTCCTTGCCCTGAGCACAGACCCCAGCAGTCACTTCTCAGCCACTGATCATCTTTTCCCAGCAGAGCCAGCACAGCCACATGCTCTGTGTACTTGTAACGGGTCTGTCTCAGAGGTGTCGTGCTGGGCAGAAGCTTGGCTGCTTTCAGGCTCCCCAGCACCAGACACGAGCAAGGACAAACCTACTGCACCTTGCCAGTAAAGCGATGAAATGCAAATTACAGTATAAAACAGATGTAAGTCAGTCCCTTATACCAGCCCTATTCCAACTGCAGATTCTGGCTTTAGGAAGACACTAGGAAAGATGTGCACAAAAGCACAGGGTGAGGGCCAGGGCTCCTCTTCTGCAGAGCACCAACATCAGAAGGAGCTTGGGCAGATCACAAGGGAGAAATTCAACCTTTAGTGAAGCACTGTGGAAACTGCTTTGCCATCAGAGACCACAGAAATCACCACAAGGGCAGCAAAACGGGAGAAGAAGGTCTGTCCGAACGCATGGCACGGCATGACTGATTCATCCCTGAAGCCAGCAAGAAATAAAGACGGATAGAGCCCAGTGTGCCCACCTGGCAGCAGTGGATGCAGCAGCCTGGTATCCAGAGCCCCTGCAGCATCTCCCCTGCTGCCTGAGCAGGACCCCCACCCCATGGGCCGTGCCATGGGGGAGTGAGGCAGCCATCAGCAGTACACACACCAGTAGCAGGTATCCATACGGGACACCAGCAGCTGCTACTAACAAACCAACAAAGGACAGATTTGCCTTTCTCTCCCTCAGTGATGGGAAATGGTTTTGGTTTTGCTTTAAATGCCACTAAGAAGACAGACAGGAGGAGGACTCTGAAGGAAAGGGAAATGTTTGTGTGCACCCAAAGACTGTGAAAGCTACTTCATGTGCACGGTGGTGGTTTTCTTTCTGCTACAGTACAAGTGCTTGTGCCTCAAGTATAAAACGCAAGCCTCCAAATCACACAGACGAGCTTCTTATTTATTTTTAAAGTGATAAATAAGGCACTGTACTTTTAACTAAAACTGCCTGGTTCTGGGTTTAAAAAAACCCAAGGAACGTCCAAACTGTAGAAACTTCCTTCTGAACAGCAGAGCCAGACAGGCCGACCTCTTCTCTGTCCGAGACACATCTGCCGATGCCTAAAATCACGGGCATTATCCTTTAGCTGCGGATTTTTAAAGGCTTGCTACAGCTTATAAAAGCAGCTTTAGTTAATGCATGGTAAAGGGTTACTACTGTACATTGGGTTTGTACATGGCTACTGGTTCTTTGCTATTTCGGGTCCAGTCGTGAGCGTTTGCTGTGTGAACAGTCCACTTTTGCCCTCAGCTTCCTCTTGCCCTGCGACCCACTGCTCTCCTGCATCTTCTTCATGGACCTCGTCAGGGTCTTCCCACTGCTGGGCTTCTTGTTGGCCATCTTCTGTGACCGCGTAGAGGACTCCCCCAGGGGCTTCTGCTTTGGGGACTTGGCCATCTCCTCGTGGCCAGTGAGCAGCACGGCCCGTCTGCTTGTGTTCTCCTTGCCCTTCCGCATGGGGAGCCGCACCTTCTCCAGCTGCCTTTTTGGGGCTCTCTTCTCTTTCAAAGACATCTTTCTAGCCAGCTTATTGCTCCTCTCCATGGCAGCCTGCTTTCGGGTGGCAGGGGCTTTTGTGCTGACCTCCGAATGCTTTATTTTACTGGCCTTCTTGGCAGGCAACTTGTCCTTGGTGGAGGAGCCGGACCGTTCCTGTGTACTCCCGCTCTCCTTCAGCATCCTCTTCTTCCTGCTGAGCTGGAGGTCGGCCTTGGGGGAGGAGTCCTCCTGGGACCTGCTCTTCCCCTTCCGTCCCTTCCCCGTCCCATCCACTGAAGGAGATTTAGCAGGAAAGGCATCTGCTTTGACCTGCAGGGCCAGCTTTGGAGACATCAGCGGGTTGATGCACACGCTCTTCCTGCTCTGCTTGCTCTCCAGGGATGAGTGGTCCCCTGGGCCATCACTCTTCTTCTCCGCCTTCACCACGCGGTGCTGGGCTCGCAGCTTGCCCCGTAGGTTGGAGTACTTGCGCAGGATCCTGGTGCTGGCCTGTGTGGGCAAGCTGGGGGCAGGCTGGATGGTTTTGTCTTCACCCAGGTCCTCGGTGCTGGCATTGGTGGGAGCTGTGTGGCTGGGAGCGGTGGCTTCCTCAGCTTCTGCTTTATCAGCATTCTCCCGAATTTTAGCCCAAAGCTTTTGGTTCTTCAGGTTATTCCGAGCCGGGGTAGTGGCAGCGAACTTCTTGAGGTGTTTCTTCAAGCGTTCAGCTTGCAGTGAGCTGGGGTAGAGACTGGAGGAGGAATATTTCTGCATGGGGACTTTGATGGGGGGGATCTCCCCTGGGAGACGGGTATTGAGTTTCTTCACGATCACTAGAGACCTGGTTTCAGTTGTCTCCAGAAACCACTGGCAGATGTCAGACAGCTTAAAGGCCTTCATAAACAGCATCTGGACAGGAGAAAGCTTCTGCACTTCCAGCGAGCCTCTACTTTTCCGTGTCCTTTTCTTGCTTTTCCAAATCTCTTTCAGTTTGTCGGCTTTGCTCTTTACCTTGGGGGCTGCCTGCACCTCCTTCTCCAGCTGAATCCATCCTTTCTGAACTTTCATGTACTGGGTGTTGAATTCGGCAATGAGCTCCTGGTTCTCCTCTTCAGCACACCACTCCATGAACTTTGGTTTGCTGTCAGCCGTGTCTATGTCCTCCAACACTGGGGAATCATCATTCCCTGAACTGCGTTCGTCCCTCAGTTTGGGGATTGCTTGCACAGGCTCCTTCCCTGGTGTGCTCTTTTTTGCAGTGTCTATGGGCGTGGGTGTGTGTCTTAAGTTATAAAACTGCAGGGCAACCTTTTTATGCTTTGCAGCCTTTTCTGGAACTTGCTTGATTCCACCTCTGCTGCTGGGACACGCAGGCGAGTTGGCCACTGGCAAGTAGTTCTCCAGCTTGCCCATGTCCACAGTACTGTTGGGGCTCTCCTCATCCTTTGCGCTGGCATTGCCTGGTTTCACATCCACTTGCTCAGTATCGTTTGCAGGCACAGTGCTCTCCAGAGGAAGGAGAATGTTTCTCTTCTCAGAGTCAGCCTGGACACTGATTTCCAGCATCTCTCCCGATTGACTTTGGCTGCTGTTAGCAGGCGGGTCACCTGCAGAGGAATTTTCTCCCTCTGCTACAGTGTCTTTTGCCAAGATGCTTTTATAGGTTTGTCTGGTAGTGACACCATTCTCCTCGCCTGGCTGCTGCTCAGCGATGCTCTCTGGAGCCTGGCCGGTGCCCAGCCCCTCGCTGGGTTTGAGCAGCACACTGGGGAAGCAGTCATTTGGGAAGTGCATGGATTCTGCCCCATCCATGTGCACTTCTCTCTTGAACCGCTTAGTGCCAGGGCTCTTAGAGAATTTGATCTGAAGGCAAGGAAGCTGCAGAGAGCTGGAAGAGCCAGCATCCTCAACACTGCCCTCAGTGGGTGACTGGGATTGCTGGCTACGGAGACGCCGGTCTGATGCCACAAGCGCTCTCCTGCCTTTCTTTCGTTTCTTGTCTAGACTGTCTTTGGAAGAGACAGAGTCATTCCCTGCAGTGTCAGAGATGTCAGAGTCAGGCAGTGTTTCCCCTTCAATAGGTTCTTTTTCACCTGCTGGGCTGTTATTCTGCACTGCCTCCCCTTCTGGTATTTCGAGGAGGGGTGGGCTGCCCAGCATAGCCTCCTCTTGCTCAAGGGAGCTGTCACCCACCGTGCCTGATAATTCGGCTTCTGGTTCAGCACTGATGCTTTCATTTACATCCACACACTGCAAGATGGCAGGGGGCTCTGGGGAGCTCTCCCTGTCCATGGTGGCGAGGAGCTCATCAGGAGCCTGACAGCCTGGAGAGCATGGGCAGGGCTCTGCCAGCTCCAGCCTGCTGGGCTCCGCATCCCCTACGCCTGGAAGCTGGGCAGGACCCCTGGCACCATCACAGGCCAGGGGTGCTGTGTCTGCAGTGGCAGCGGGCTGCAAGGGCAACTTTGGCTCTGGGCTGGTGGGGAGGTCTGGGTCAGTTTGCATGTTGGAGCTTGGACATCCTTGCTCCCCACTGGGTGCTTTTGAGATGGGGAGGGCAGCAAAATCAGCTGTCTGCTCACCACCACTGCTGTCCCCGGGGGAGCCCAGGCTGCTGGCAGCCTCCTGGGGCATGGTGCCTCCAACTCCTACCTCCCCTCCTTCAGCAGGAGGGGAGCTGGGGGGCGGTGAGCCATCCAAGCTGTCCTCTTTCTGAGGGCTGGGTGGAGCAGAGAGGGAGAAGAAGGGCATGGCCATGGTGGCTTCCCTGGACCGCAGTGCCCGGGTATCCCAGGGCTGCATGGAGCCCAGCTCAGGTCTCTCTTTCACTTCTCGGCTGGCCAGTGCCCCTTTAGCCAGGAGCCTCAGGGAAACCCTCTTCTCACCCTCCCGTCCTGTCCCCGCAGATCCCCCCAGCGAGAGCATGAGGGGTGGCTTCGCGCTTACAAGGGTCTCTGTTCGCAGTGCTGCGCCGCTCCCCCTCTCCTCCACCCGGGAGCTCTTCACCAGCGTGCGGACGGTCGGGAGCTCACAGCATTCCCCGTTGAAGTAATACCCCCGCGTGCTCTTCCTCGCCGTCTTGCGCGACGACACCGGCCGCTGGCTCTCAAAATGGCACTCAGTGATGGGCTGGCTGATGTACACCACATCGCACTGGTTGTCGTAGTCATTGATCCTCAGCCCCGACGCCTTCTTGCTCTTCCGAGTGGATCTGAGGGAGGCTGCCTTAGTGCGGGGGTGCCCGCTGGGGGTCCGGTGGGTGGCTGGCACAGCACCGGCGGGCAGCCAGCCGTCTTTGGACCTGTCAAGCGGGCCTTTGTCGGCCGGGTGCAGGTGGCAGCCTGCCTTGCCCTTGGGCATGGCGTGTAGGTGGTTTTCTTGCTTTGGTCTTGCATCTTGTTCTTTTGCATCTAAGTCCTGGTGCAAAGATGCATTTGAGCTGCATTGCAAAGTATTCTCTTTGTCAGCTCTGCGAGGGGGGGTCACCGCAAAGCTGGGATCCCAGGACTCTTCTGGCAGAGCTCTGAAGGAGCTCTTCTGGGACCCCAGACAGCTGTCTAAGCTGTCCTCGCTGCCGTTCACATTTGCCACCTTGACCGAGATATAACCTTCCATCAGAGTCTTACCTGCTAGCTGCTCTTTATTGTCCTCACACTTCCTGACTTCTTGCTCGTGTCCAGCAGCTTGCTGCCCGTCCAGGCTCCTTGCGGCATGATGGAAATTCAGAGAGGAAGAGTTCAACGTGCTGAGGTATCCTTGGGTGGAGCTATCCTTTGGACTAGCAGAACGAAGCCTGGTGACGGGGAGCTCAGAGAAGTCCCTTCTCAAAGCAGGACTGGAGCTCTCTGCTCTGTCCAGACACTTCAGCTCCGGCAGCTGCTTCGGGGCTTGTCCCATAATATGCAGGGGGCCATCGGACCCCGACTGTCCTGGGTCTGAGGAAGAAGGGGCCTTTGATTCAGTACAAGTAGCACCCTTGTCCTGATTTTCAGTGCTTCGCTGGCTACAACCAGAGACACAAGTAGAGGCCTCCATGCTCTCGGATTCAGACAACTGCTGGCCTTCAGGGTCTGGCTGCACTTCAGTGTATATGTCGTTTAGCACACGGATGAATTGCTTCTGGTGATGTGTACACAGTCTGACCATAAACTTTTCCAGTGGAGACTTCGGCTGATTGTTAGAGTCTATTGCTATTGTCTCTGCTGCATCCTCACTAGAGAGATAAAGAGAGAAACAATCAGTACCATGCCCCAGGGAATAAAACTTTAGACTACAAAACTGGAATAACCCTTCTCCTCCCACTCAGGCACATCACTTGCCTGACCTCCAGGTGAGATCAAGCATCCTGTTGTCATGGGGCTGGCAGACACCCCATCAGTCCCCAAGACACACACGTATGCATATTACTGGCAGGACACCGACCATGCTCCTGTTGGTCTCCCGCTGCCAGAGCACCCATAATTACACTTCTATCAATCACATCCTGGTGTGTAGCGCAGTGTGACATGTTCAAAGCAAACCCAAAGTTCCCTGCAAGAGTCAGACTCAGTATCTGCACCATGTGCAGAGTAGAGGGCCCAGCACTTCTGGGACCCAGCAGGACGGCTACACACTTCTGCATGCGCAATCTGTGCATTCAGGCTGGGTGGGAGCAGAGCAGCATCCCAGCCAGATGACAGAGATAGAATCATAGAATAGTTAGGGTTGGAAAGGACCTTAAGATCATCTAGTTCCAACCCCCCTGCCATGGGCAGGGACACCTCACACTAAACCATATCACCCAAGGCTTCGTCCAACCTGGCCTTGAACACTGCCAGGGATGGAGCATTCAGAGCCTCCCTGGGCAACCCATTCCAGTGCCTCACCACCCTAACAGGAAAGAATTTCTTCCTTATATCCAATCTAAACTTCCCCTGCTTAAGTTTTAACCCGTTACCCCTTGTCCTATCACTACAGTGATCTTGAACTCCTGTGCGACTTCAAACTCTGCTTACACCTTGGTGGCAGAACACGGGCCTGGGGCAAACTGGGCAGATTGGAGCCTCCTCTGCAAACCGGTGCAGAACCTGGGGTGATCTCCCAGCCTCAGGCCATGCAGGCAGCAGTGTACCCCTGTGTGGTGCGGTGCCTTGGCATTTGCACTGACCTTTGATTTAGTGCCATTTAATAAAGTGGCTCTGCAGCTGATGGGCTGTCAACACGTAGTGGTCGCTTGGAAAGGTGTGCTTCTACAGCACAGGATCGCTGCCATTAGCTAGCTCTCAAACCGAGGCGATTACCATTTAACCTGCTTGGCAGAGGCAATTAATTAGGACTTATTGGTGGAGAGGTTAAGGGATAATTACCCAGTGTTTGCACTGTGCCAGGTGCCGTTACTGACACCCTATCTGCTCCCAACGGCAGCGCGGGCCATTCCCACCCAGTCCTGGCCACACCGAGGGGACTGCGCGCCTTGGCACCCACGCTGCAGGCGGAAGGATCTGTGCCAGCAACGCCAGGTTGCTTTCCACTAACAGTCACACTTTGCACCTCCTGGCCTTGTACCGGAGGAGTGAAAGTCGTTTACCCCCACTGCAGCCTTACTCTGCCCTCCCCAGCATCAGCCTCTGACCTTGCTCGCTTGGCTGTGTCAAGGGGGCAAAGCTTATCACAGGGGTTGGGGCCAGGGTGGGGAAAAGCAGCTTTATCTGGAGTGGGATTTCCACCCCCATGCTGTCAGGCAGGTGGACAAGGAGGAAGAGCCCCGGTTTGGACAAGCCATTGGCAGAGAGAATGAGGGAAAGCCAGGGACCAGAGCCAGCGTGCTCGGTGGCAGGCGGCAGGGCTCTGCCAAACCACCCGGAAAGGCTGAGCGAGCTCAGCTCCCAAATGTACTCCCAGGGTTAGCAATAAACAACGTACCTTGAGACTGCTTTACTACACCCAGGCGAAAAACCCACCTTCAGCAACCGTCTCAACTGGTTCTACCTGGCGCTGCGGTGACTTTCAGTTTGCGATGCCTGGGATTAGTTTAAATACAAATGCTCAGGTACAACCTGGCCCCTCTCCAGAGCCATGCATGGGCAGGGTTATGTCAGCCAGGATCTCTTACACAGCCCAGCTCCTCCCCTTGCCCTGCTGCATAACAAAGGGGATAATAAACCTTTCACCCCCCTGCAGGAGGAGGGCTGGTAGCAGGGGGCTTTGTGGGGAGGCAGAGCTTTTACTCCACCTTTGCAAAGAGGGCGGATGCTTTCCCCTTACCTGCTCACAAGCCCTGCTCCTAAGAGCGGCAGCCATCTTCCCCCAGGGAGCCTCAATTTATAACCGTGGCAGCAGAGGTGTGTCCCTGCCCCAGCCCTCCCCACCGCCATGCTCCTCAGGCAGCTCAGGAGCAGGTTATGGTGGCCAAACAGCCAGCTCCCTCCTTGCCAGGGCACAAATGGCTGCGAAGAAAGAGCCATGCCATAGGCAAAGCCCGAGTGGGTGGTGAGGATGAAAAGGTGAGCTACAGGCTGGGAGATGCCTAGCGAGGGGGGACATCGTGGGTCTGTAAGGAATCCCTAGTTTGGGAGCAGGGAACAAAGCAGCCGGACACGGTCCTTCCTTGCCTTGGAGGAGCAATGCTGAACACAGCCAGTTGCAGGTCATGCCTCCCTTGCAAGGTGTGCAGGTCTTCAAAAGACCCTGCTTGCATGGCAGAGGAGACCTGGGCTCTCTGGTCCTAAAGGCTCCAGGCAGCATTTCTGCCTTGCTTGCACCTAGTTTCCTCCTCCGAAGCGTGGCTGAGTCCATGGTGCTGATTTTCACCTTATTTGCCCCACTGTATTCCAAGGAATCAAGCTGAGATGCAAACTGTTTGTCAAGCTGTAAATTTCAAAAGCAGAGATAAGAATTTCTCCTGCTTGATAAAGAAAAAGCCATGCAGCCTCAATGCCCTTTGTCCTTAGAAGACCCATCTCACACACAGCGACACAGTTCACCTGCTTCTGCAGGCAAGTTGCATTTGTGATCCTTTGCTTTCACATCACTTTGGCTCAAAGATGGGTTGCAACTTCTCACTTTGTGCTCAATCTGCTCCTTCCGCAGCCCATCCAGCACCCCAAGTCTGGGTGCTGCAGGCAGCATCACCTCTCCCTGCCACTGGGCTCTGAGCATGGCTGGATCCTACCTTAGTGATTCCTCTTCCTGTGCCCCGAGGGTGCTGAGCTGCAGCCTGTACCTCTCCATCCCCAGATCTCAAAGGCACAGCTCCCTGGGACCTGCTAATCTGTGCATCCTGGAACCTGCCCAGTATTTCCCACCACTCCTGTCTGTTCTGTCTGTTACTACTAAGTAAAACATGCCCATGGCCATTCTCCTGCCTATCTGCCAATGGAATCAGGACTGCCCACTTCTTCCCTACTTAAGGCAGTTTCTGAGAAGAGCTTGTTTTCTCCCTGCTTAAGGCAGTTTCTGAGAAGAGCTTGGTTTATGCTGAGGTGTAATAGAAGAGTTTATTTCAAGTGCCCCATGGCTTCAGGTAGGGTTGCTTACAGACTCTGTAAACTGGCAGAGAAACTATTTATTTACGTGGCTTATCAGAAAGAAGAGAGGAAAGGAGAGGAGAGCTGATTGCAGAGCTGAAGTGCCTTCCCAGGGGAAGGCGCTGGGTACTAACAGGTTCCTCAGCCCCATGGGCAAAGGCACAGCAGGAGCTAAAGACATGAACGCAGGGGATGGCAATAGGGAACATGGCTTTAAGCAGGGTGAAAAATTGCTTTTGGGAGGTGGTCACCCCTGTCCCTGAAGAGCCTGCCTTTTGGGAGGCACAGGTCAGCCCTGCAGAAGCTGCTGGGCTCAGCACACAAGTGAGGGAGCTCAGGGCTGCCCGTACCATCTGCAGCCTTCCCTTTGGTGCCTGTGCTCACCCCTTCCCCTGGGGCTTGGCCTGAGGCTCTCTTAGTTTTGGGTGTGTATAAAGAACGTGTAATTTCTCTCAAGAGCTGGAAAAGCCACAAGCCCAAGGATCCATGGCCAGTGCGAGGTGACTTAGTGGAGACCCTCTATGCCTGTGGCCAAGCTGCAAGCGCAGTCACAGACCCATATGGGGTACCCAGAAGGACTCACTGCGCTGGAGAGACAACCCATCTTCCTGCAGAGCTGGGGGGATGGCAGGTCTGCCCTTTCTGTCCACCACCATTGAAAGCTGCCTACACAAGGCTGCGGCTGCTGGAGGCTCCTGCTCCCCAGCACCCCCTTTCCAGCCCCACTGCACGTGTCACCCTGTGTCAGCAGAAGACACCCACACAGACCTTACCACCTGAGACTCTCGCTACCTCCTGGCCTTTGTAGCTTCCCCAGGGCAGCCCTGTTCTCTCCTCCTTCCCCGCCTGCCACAGAAGGTGTCAGAGGCATCAAGGGGCAGGAGCTGTCAGAGACACAACCAGAGCTGTTGCTACGCAACCCCGGTGGTGCAGCAATTAATGCCGTGGAAAACGCTGCGCTCTAAAGCTATTTGCATAGCTGCGTGCTGCAATACATTTGTTTGCATTGTGCCTGCACTGTTTAGTGGAGTTCGAAGTCAGCCCTCCCCCTGCTCTTGCTGGGGGGGGGGGCGGCCTGGGGCTCCCAACAAAGGCCACACGGTTGGGGGTGATGGGGGAAGGCAAGGGGTTATCTGTCCATAACACCTATAGACTGCACAGGTATGGGATTTACAGTATGGGGATGAAAAGGCAAATTATCTGGATTCCACCCTACACAGCTTAAGGAGCTTTGCCCACCTTAAGAACCAGCTGCTACAGTGGGGACCCACTGGTGGGGTTGCCACATCTCCCCTTCTGTAGTTGCATCAGGGTGATGCTGTGCTTGCTCTGCTTGTGATTGCCACAAACAGAGCTTTAGGGGCAGCTCAGCCTGCCTCTGGTTCAAGAGGGTATTTTGGATGGGAGTAAGGAATAGAGAGGGAGAAAGAGATCAGCTGGTTCATACCAACCTACCTGGGAAGCTGGTCTCTGAAAACCTGCCGATTGCAAACTGCAATCTTCTGTTTTCCCCACCCCAAGTTTCTCACTATTCAACATGAAGCCTGTGCCCTTTTTGGGTTTCTTCTTTTAGCCCCGGAACATTGGTTTGATTGATTATAAGTTTACAGATATGTTTTGTACCTCAGCGGCACAAGAAGCAGCAGCAGAACAAAAGTTCAAGGCTAAGTGTTTCTGTTCCTTTCAGACCACTCTAAGCACCAGGATT